AAAAAAAAATAAATAAAATAAAACAGCAATGTGACTAATACAAGTAAAAAAAAGTAAGGAAAATGAAAAACTGGGATAAGAGAATAATAATGAATACAAAAATAAAATGGAAGGACTAAGAACAAATATGCTATTTGTATGATGACTGAAAATTCCTATTAAGTCTCTCCCCACCCCGGCCCACTGGTTTAAAACTCAGAATCCAGCTATATAATCTATAAACCAACTAACCCATCAAATAAATAAAACCCTAAAATAAAAACTGAAAGTAAAGATAAAAGCAAAATACTTATATAAAATGAAAACAAAAAGGTTAGGACAATATTAACACCCAATTAAGGCCAGGCAAAAAAGAAATATAGTAAAGTACAAATCAGCTCACTTTTTTTTTATACCTAGAAAACTTAAGAGACTATCAAGAAAAAAAAGTAGAATAAGTAATTAGTAACAAGCACCTAGAAACGAAATATTCCATTTGTAATTTTGATGAAAAATACCTCTGAAGTCCCTAGAGATAATCCCATGGCAAAGAACCTACATAAAGAAAACCATAAAATCTTCTTGAAAGAGATAAAACAAGTCCTGGTGAGAAATCACTACTACCTGACATAATATAAAGCAGACATATGATTGAAGAGTAAGACTTAATATCATAAGAATGTCTCATCTCCCCAGATTAATATATATAACTACACATAATTGTTACATATTATAATTATATATTAGTGTAATAATGTAACTAATATATAATATGTAACTATATATATATGCATACATAAATTCAACTGTTCTTACCTACATAAAATAACCTTAAAAGTTCAGATGGAAAAAAAAATTTCCAAATATAGTAAGAAAAATAGAAACTATAGCAAGAGAAAAAGGTAGCCTTACTAGATATCAGAACACACTATAAATCTGCTAGTCAAATCAATATATCATCATAACATGAAATAACTAGATTGGAACGGAATAAAGAACCCAGAATTAGAACCATGTGTGTATATGAAAACTTAAGACAAATGCGGCCTTTTAGGTCAGTGGGGAAAACAGATGAATTAATAAATGGTGCTGGCCTTACAGGCTACCATCTGGAAAAAAATTAAGATGAACCTCTATTCACCCCTATATGAAAATAAATTCCAGATGCAGTAAGGGCCTTACAAGACCCGGGTTACCAGGACTCCCTAGGGTTAAGGGTTAAGATCTGAAACAAGATAAAACAGTTCCAGCTTTTCTTTCATAGCCTCTCTTTCTCTATGCAAAAACATAAAACTCAAAGGGCTAAAGGTACCATAAACAAGGGTTAAGAAATAAAACAGTAATTTTGGGGAAAACTGTTTAGCAAATCTCATCGGAGTACCCAGCTGCAAACAACAGAACCCCTCTGGCTAGTAAGGATTTGTTAAAAATGGCTATCAAGTAACTGAGTCTCTGGGAAGGGCAGAAAAAAAATTAAGTTCTATCCCTAACCTACACATATTTAGAAACAGATGGTGAGTGGATTAAAAGCTATACATTAAAAAAAAAAAAAATTCCCTATCAAAGTAATTAGAGGATACAGATGACATTTTCATCCTGCCGGGATGGGGAAGGGTTTCCTAGGCAAGACCTAAAACTCAGAAGAGTCAAATAAACAATACCTAACAAATAAAAATTAAATTTTTGTAAAAGACACACAAATGAAAATGTAAGCTAAATCCCATGTTCCCAACAGACCCAAAGGAAAATGCTGAACTGAAGCGTGCAGGGGAAAGCTTAAGCCCCTGTGAGCATAGGCCCTTCCTCCGACAGTAGGAGTAATCTGCCCTAATGGTAATACTCATCAAGTCAGCTGTACTTTTCCATAGCCTGTCCGAGTTTCCTGCTCATGAGAAATGGTTCCTCTGTCTGCAAGCTGCTCATGTTCACACAGGCGGGCCAAGGCCGCTCTAGTGGGGCCTGTATATCACACTCAGATCCATCGTCAGGCTCGTGAGTTCCTTTCCCCACTAGGACACACCGTATCAAACAACTGTCCCCTCCAAGTGTACGTCTGTAAGTTTTTACTTTTAGCATCCCATAACAACATGATTTTACCTGTTCCTACTGGATTAGGAGTATATGGAGGTGGAGGGGGTACACCCGGAGCTATGACGTTGGCTAATGGTACGAGACCTGCATTGTTATAAGCACCTAAAATAAAATTATAGGGAAAAAAAATTCAGTATCATTCTATGGCCAAGAGTTCAAACCATATTAACAGAGCTATCTAATTTTTAAAACTGCTAATGACAGAGTTGCATTTTACACAGAGGTTTGGGTCTAGTGTAAGGACAAAGCTGAGATCAAGTGAGACAGCGAGAGATTCTGACTTCCCATTGCATGCTCATTCCAGACGTCAGCTCACTGAGTGGCAGGGAAGGGAGATCCTGCCATACTTCAATTATCTGCCTTTTCTGTCAATCACATACAGTTGACCTTTTTAAGTGAGATGTATTGAGGATACCTTTGAACCCCAACTACTGAAATGGGATTCATGATGATTTACCAAAGCGAAAATCCATAATAATGATTAAAAAGAATCTATAATGAATTTACCAAAAGGCAAATACCCTAAACTAAACTCTGTCTCCTGCACTGCTGTAGACCAAGAGACTGTGTAGCCCACCGTGGGCAGAATTAAACTCAGGAGAGCGTATTTCACAAGTGCTCCAATTTTCCCAAGTAGATATACCAACATTTACCTTCAACTTAATAAAGAGCAAAAAGAAAAAAAATAGAACATGAATGAACTGCTTACTTGGTGCAATGGTTGCGTGTGGCCGGCATGGAGGTATTGGGTAAGGAACAGGCTTATGTGGATTGTACGTTGAAGGAGGCTAGATGAGGGGGAAGTGGAGCAGTTAAAGAAAACTAAGTCAGCAATCTCCCTGCAAACAAAATACAACTTGTCTTTTGAAATATTTAGTCGTAAGAGGCTGAAAGTGCTCCAGCATATCAAATGCTACTGGCCTAATACATGGCACAAGTGAGGGAAATGTCTTTGCTTTAATAAATGTGGTTCCTATAAATTCCAAAGGCAGATCCTGCCAAAGACTGCTGTGGAGGGGTTTATTTTTAATTTCAGTATTAAATCATCTCCAATGAAGGGTCAGACCTTATCCTAAATAGCAAACTCCTCTCTGACTGAGCCGAAGTTAATCTTAAGAATTTTTGTCTCCTCCTCTGTAACACAAGAAATCCTCTAGGTTTAGGAACCTTGACTACCCAAGAACTTCCAATAGCCTCCAAAATTCATCAGAGATTCATCTTACCATTCTTACCCTCTTTTCTCCTTGGAAGAACAAAGTCCTATATTCTTTAGCATTCAGCACTCTGACAACTCGAGTAGAATGCAGACTGGGATTATAAATTCAGTATTTTAGTCTTTTTGCCTTTGAAATCCACAAATCTTTTATTTTGTAGTTGATAGAACTATGTAAGTAACAAAAGCATCCCAAGAATTGGTCTCTAGAGAACCAGAGGTCTCTGAAGTTAAGCCAGATGCTGTACTTCTAAGGGGCTGCAAGACGGCTGTGACAGGCCTCTCCCACTTCAGCTCGAACAATGTTTTAACCTACAGGGCTGTCTTTGGGTTCAGTTGATATCCTAACCAATCATGATCACTCCCTTCAAAATACTCTCAACCTCCGGGCCCACTCTTGATTCACTATTAATACTAATTTGGCCAAACCACAACCTTAAAGCGAACTCTCCATTCTCCATACCTTCAAGGGAACAGCTGAATAGGGTTGGGAAAAACAAAACAAAACAAAACAACTGGACTGGTCTCACTTTAAAATGAAACATGAAACCTCAGAAGGGCCTTGGACACTGTTAACTAATTATGCTATAGTTCCCTATTCACTTTCCTCGAGTTTTTAGTATACTTCAAATTTCACAACACGAAAACAGAACTGATGCTGTGTGCTGTGAACAGACAGAAAACTACATGTACGAGTTAAGGCCCGTGTCATCATTTATTCTCTAAACATACCGGTTTGGATGGTCCAAGAATCCGTGCAGCTATTCCTTTGCCTTCATTAGTACATTCTTCACCATCTTTTTTCAAGGGGGTTCCCTATTTAAATAAATAAAAAAATAAAAAGAAAGAAAGATAATTGAGACTTAAAAAAGAACAAACCCAAAGGAGAAACAAAACTAAACAAAACCCTCACTGTATTACAATGAAGAAAAGGACTTAACTTGGTAAGAGTTAAAGGATCTGGATTCCAGATCCAATCCTGTCTTGGCTGTAAGACCCTGCTAAGGTCCTCAACCTTCCTCTGCCAGAGAACCCTCACAACGTGTACAGAGGAACTCAGAAACAAGTACACCACACACATGGGGATGACAGAAGAGCAGGATAATGTAGGTTTTAACTTTTTCCCCTGCACCATAGGAGCGCCCAGAAACAGACTTCCAATGCTCCAGTATATACAATGGTCAAAGAATCAAAAAGAGTACCTATATTACAGTTAAAAATAGATGACAAAAAAAATGATGTTTTCTATAAGCATTAAATGAGGTAGTTCATATTATATAAGAATAAATGAGACCTCATTCAAGACTATTATTAACAGATCAGAATAAGCGGACAGACTACTACAATGTGTCCTCCTAAGAACGTGTGCCTAAATAGTACATACTAGTAGGGAAGCCAACTTCCAAGATGGCCCCCAGACATCCTCACCTCCTACATGCCCTTGTAAAGTCCCCTTCCAGAATGAACAGTGCTAGACTGCATAATAAATAGGATATTCCAGAAATGATGGCATCTGACTTCCAAGACTAAGTCACAAGAGGCAACACAGCTTGCACTTGCCTTCTCCTGGACTATTTGCTCTGGTGGAAGTCAGCTGCCATGTCGTGAGGTATTCAAACAGCACTACGGGCAAGGCCTTACTGTGAGGAACAAAGACCCCCTGCCAACCACCAACACTTAACTTGCCTGGCATGTACCTGAGCCCCCTTGGGAGTACAGTCTCAAGCTCTACTCAAGCCCCCAGATGACTGCAGTCTCATAAGAAACGCTGAGCCAAATCCAACCTAAGCCACTCCCAGGTTCCAGATTCATAGAAACTGTGTAAGATAATGTTTAGTTTTAATCCACTGAGTTTCAGGGTTACTTGTTACACTGCAATAAAAATACGGCACTCCTTGCAAAGATAATTTTACAAAGACGTTTGTGGATGGTATAGAAACAGGTTTCTTTCCTTCAGGACTTCTCAGAGCCTTTCTCATGCAATCTGACTGTCCAAGAAGGAAACACTGCACACGATTTCTCAAACATACTCAACTGTGAAACTGTCTGAGGAACACTGAGAATTTGAGAAATGCTCCTTTACACTAAGTGCAAAGCAGTGCTTCTAAAATACTTGGAAAAACAAAACAAAATCATCCTCTTTTCTATTTGTCTTGTTCTGTACATCTTACACAAATACTTTAATGTAGTTTATACATGAACTTTTGATCAATGTTGAACCCATGAATTAAGCTGCTGACCTAAGAAAATTCCTATCCTTGGTAGAAGCATCATCAGCTGGCATTTTCTTTAAATATCATAACTAAGCTAAATTTCATAGTAAGCCATAAGAAGTTTCTCATAGCCACAAACATATGCTTACTGGGAAAATTCCATTTATGCGACTAGGTTTTCCTTTGGGATACGGATTTCCTGGGATTGTTCCACAAGAAGATATCATAGCATGAGGAGCTTTGCAGCCCCCCTTGAAAGCCTGTAACAAAAAACAAGAGGGTGGTAATAAATAAATATACAAAAAAATAAAAAAACTCATAGGTTAAGTATTCTGGATATTTGGAGGCCCTGTTAAAAATATGAATCAAGAACAGCATCACATTAATCTGTTCATGAAATCATCAGCACTTACAGTAGTGAACATGACCAAAATTCATAAGTAAAATCACTTTATTTAAATGGAATTATTAAAGTGGTAACATAATGTTTTTAATTAGTTTTCTTTTTGCCACAACTAATAGACTCCCATACAAAGATATCTCCACAGCAGATTTTGTAAATTGTGTGCAAACAAGTTCATTTACTATTTGGTATGTCCCGTTTCTCCAAACCAAGAAATAATGTCGTCCAACTGTATGAACACCAAACTCATGTTACAGGCAAGACAAGGAGAGCAACAGATGAAAGATACATGGACTCTGCTCTGAAGAAGTTTAGAACTTAGTGGAGAAACACAAACAAATAACATGGGACACTGGGTATCCAAAGAGCTGTACTGCTGAAAAAGCAAGAGTTATTTAGGTATACTGTATTCAACATAGCATTACATGATTATGAGACATATTGAGGGATGTTCTAGCTTATTTATTATTGCATTCTCAGCTTCTACAATGGTACACTAACAAATATTGAGTTCATACTCAATAAATATTGAATGAAAAACACTACATTAGGTGATGTATATTCCAATAGATCTATATTATGCTATAGGGATATGAAGCTATATATAGCTATATTTTACAAGTATGCAGGATGTCATCTATTTTATTGTAGAGATATATTGGTTTTATAAATTCATTCACATTTGTTATAGAGATATATTGGTTTTATAAATTCATTCAAACACACATAATTAGCTATATAATCCAGTCACCTACTAAACACCCAAACCTAAAAATTATCTCAATTTTTGGTTATTATAAATAGTACCAGAGTAAATACCCTTACATACAAATTAGTATATTTCTATTTCTTTCCTTAGAATAAATTCCTAGAAATAGAATTTTCTGCATCAAAAGACATGAACAGTTTAAGGCTCTTCAAGTTTACCTTCCAGAAAAGTTGTACTAAGTTACACTGACCAGAGAGCCTATTCCACAGAATACTCAGGGCCCCATTATTTCTGAGAAGAAAAATACTCAGGACCAAATTATTTCTGACATGATCAGAATGCTTTATAAGGAAGAAAACAACAGCAGTAAATGCATGGTGCCTTAAAGAATTTAGTCAAGAAAACCAATGGAGAACTTATTAAAGTAAAGAAATGTGGGCTCAGATCTTGCTTCTGCTACAACAGAACTCATGAGTAAGCCAAGTTCTCTGCTACCCCTGAGCTTAGCAGACAGTGTAAGGATTAAATGTGCTTGGGCTGCAAGGCCCCAGGAGAGCAGTATGCATCTTCCTCAAGCAGGTTTATAATCATTAATTCCGTTTCCAGCCATCACAATCCTAAGAAATAACTACCTTAAATGACAACTCAAGTCAAGTAGGTTTAGGTAAATACTACTCCTCCCATTCTTAGAGATTTTAAATTAGTAAACTGGAATTTTGCTTTATTATCCATCTCTTATAAATTTGATTAACGTAGTAAGACTGATGACAAAACAAATTAAAAGAAAATTTTTTTTTCCGTCACGTTCCTAAATACATAGGATTAAAGGCAAAAACTTGGAGCCACGGCAAAGCTACCTAGGGACCGAGAATAAACACCCGCTGAGGCTGAAGCTGAGAAGCCAACTGGCGTCTCACTCTCAAGCCATTTCCTTATCCCCCAGAACCCCCTTGCCCAGCTCCTGTCCTCCATGGACCGCAGGGATGCCATCTTGACCCACTGCACAAGAGCTGTCAGGTTATTCATCACAGTTAACACAGAAGTAAGACCGGTACTTTGCTTCCTTCATCAACATTCAGAAAAACCCAATGTTCTATTTATATAGCAATCTTGAGAAAATTACCTGTTCAAGTACTCTCTTGCACCGTTTCTTCTCAGACATATTTATCCTGAATAAATCTTCGATGGGACGAGAATTCTGTGCATCAACAATGTTTCTACCAAGGAAATGCAATATAGCTTTTGATTTAAGAACCTGGACATATATACAAACACCAACAACCTTTACCAAACAACCATACATGAGTAACCTTTCCCCCAATGACATATGGAGAAAAGTGATTTAGTTTTAATTGGTGAATGTAAACCATATTTTTATAAAAAATGATAAATATAACTGAACTGAGGTTCATCTGGTTACCTAAAAGTAATGAAGTAGTTCTATGAATAAAAATCACTATTTTGAGATTCCTGAAAATATACCCTCTCAATGAGTAGTAGGAGATCTATGGCAACAGAAAAAAAGCCATGTGCCAAACGCATAAAAATAATGGTTGATCTAAAAATGAAGTTTTACCTTATGCTTTATTTTAACTTTGTATTTTTGCAGACATCTATAAACATATAAAGGACTTAAAAATGCATGTGCTCTCAATAAACAGCAATCTATAGATTCTTCCATAATGCAGAAGAGCAGGCTCTTTTTCTCTTTGAGCTTACATTCATTATGATCATTTATTAAATGCTATGCTTAGTGTTTTCACAGATCTTCTAGGATTTAAAGTTCACATATGTGGGGCACCTGGGTGGCTCAGTCGTTAAGCGTCTGCCTTCGGCTCAGGTC